CATTTATCATGCCCTTATTAATTTTCATTGTATTTGAATATATAAGAATGAAGGTGTTGAATTTCTTGAACCTTCTTAGGTTGTCTTGTGTGAAAAAATCTTGTAATAGTCATAATGAATACTATGTCTCGTTACGGAATCAATCCGTCGGGACTTGTAATCATCCGTTAAATCATCATGTAACCGTCGGGGATAATTGATCTAACGGTTACGAACCCCGATAGAATAATTCCGTAACGGAACCATAGCATTTCCCTATATTCAGAATATGATTCAGACCATGTGTTTGATTTTGTATTTCTATTTATCATCTTCTTAATAATTTTCAATGTTCTTTTTTTTTTTCTCGGAAGGTTGCCGAGTGGGGCAAAATTAGCATGGGTGATGCCGAGAGGCGTCTCCTCGCGAATGCCCTTCTCGACTTTTCCAACGAGTGGTTTGTTCTCGTGTCCGAGGCTTGCATCCCAGTCCGCAACTTCAGCACCGTCTACCGATACCTCTCTGGTACCCCACTGAGCTTCATGGGCTCGTACGACGAGCCCGGCCCATGGGGCCGAGGCCGCTACAATCGGAAGATGGCCCCGCTCGTCAACCTCACCAATTGGCGCAAAGGGTCCCAATGGTTCGAGGTCGATCGGGAATTGGCTGTGAGGATTGTCCGAGACACAGTCTACTACCCAAAATTCCAACGGTTCTGCCAGCCCGAGTGCTACTCGGACGAGCACTACTTCCCGACCATGCTCACGATCGAGTCCCCTCGCCAGTTGGCGAACAGGAGCCTCACGTGGGTCGACTGGTCGAGGGGCGGGCCCCACCCGGCGGCTTTCGGGCCGGAGGACCTCGGCGAGTGGTTTTTCATGGAAATCACCGAGCAATGGGAGGGCTGCCTGTACAACGACCAGCCCACGTCGATGTGTTACATGTTTGCCCGTAAGTTTGCACCGAGCGCGTTGGATTCGTTGATGGGGAATTCGATCCAGTGGTTCGGGTTTTGAAGTCGTGCGGTCGAACTTTCTTGATTTTTTATTTTCCTTTCTTAATTTCTTTCTAATTGACCATAAATATAAGCATAGGTCATTGGATGAACGATATACACAAGCAAAACATGTCATTGTAAGATGAG